TTTTTAAATAACTTGAAGTTTTCTTTGCGTGTGTGTGTGTTTTCATTTGAAAGTTTTATTAATTTTGTTGTGTCATTTATTTTAGGGTGTTTAGGAGATTAACTATAATAACCCTGCTTACAAGACTTTGGTTTATAACAAATAAATATATTTTATATATATGAAACCTGAGAGATTTATATTTAGAGGCTTCTTGTATTGGGCGATCTTTTTCCATCAAGTTTTTTTTTAGTATTTATAAAGTAATTACGGTATTTAGTTCTGTATTTTTCTTTTTAATTAAATTTTTAGTAATTCTATGTGTATTTTCTAAGCTTTTATTTCTATTCCACTTTTAGTAAGTTAGTGCTTGCACTAAGTTGCCAAGGCAACATTTCTAATATTCAGAGTTTAAGTTTTCATTGAATAATTGTTTAATTTCAGATTGATTTCAAGTAATGGAAAGAATTTTCAATAGTTCTAGTTAACAATAACAACAGTTCAAAATAAAAAAAATTCTGAGCGCCCATGTGAATGTTAAAAAGCAGGTGAAAAAAAAAGGCAATTAAATGTTTTATAGAGATAGTCCACCTAGAAATATGAATTCTGGCATCATTTACTTACCCTCATGTCATTCCAAACCTGTATGCATTTCTTCTTCTTCTTCTGCTGAACACATAAGAAGATATTTTGAAGAGTGCTGATAAACAAACAATTTCGGTTCCCGTTGACTTCTATTGTATTTCAATGGGAACTGAAACGGTTTACTTAGCAACATTTTTGGTTGGACTCTCTCTTTAAGAGCCCTTAAGAAGAATCAGACAGTTAAAAAAACATCCGCTTAAATAAAATAAAATATTTGCTATACATTTTTTGCTTACGAGTAATTTCAAAAGAATACATGGCTGATTTGGAATGCAGAAAAGATTATATTTGCCCTCGAAATGGTGTGGTGTAGTTACATTCTCTGCCAGCAGGGGCTGACTGGATCATACCAGTATCCAATACTAACTGGACATAATAACTAATGCGGTCAAGGGGTCAGTCCTTGGTTTCAGATTATTTTCTTTCGTTTAAGCCACTTTCAATGTAGTGAGATGCATCTGTTGCATCTTTATTATTCTGGTCTTTCCACTGCCCTCATATGAGACAGAGTTCTTGTTTATCACCCTCTAAACGTATTCTCACATCATGGAGATTTTCTTCCCATCTCACTACTTGCTGAGAAGGTCTCCAAACTTTCCTGCTGAATCACCAAGGGAAGCAAATAAACATTGTAGGGCAATGCAGCTCTCGCCAAATAAACAACTGACCGTGAGGCTGAGGTAAGCGTGACCCCTATACACGTCCGGTCAGCATCTGGACTTAAGCTTCACTCGATCAAGGTCACCGCTGGTGATCTGTGCAGGAACAAACACTGGCAATTACATTCAGACCGTCACTGATTGCATGATGAGATGCAGCCCTGCAGCACAACTGACTGAGGATGTTTGTGTAGTGCAGTTTTTCTGTTGAGTGTTTGTGTGCAGATATGGATTACCAAAGACTGTTGGTCTACAGACTTAAATCAGCACGGGACATTCTCAGAGGATTTGAAGTCATCACGACCTGTCATGAACTAAAGTCTTGTGTGGAAATCAAATTTAGCACCCACTCGTGGTTACACGAGAAATGATGCTGTATGTGCATTTAAATGCATGAAATAAAAGTTTCGATACAAATGACATTCAACTATTTTTTAGTTTACCATAAATGCTTGTCAGTACATTCAGCAGTACTTTAACCATATTTCAAATACAATAGAAGTAATTATGAAATTTCTATAAAGATGTACTTGCGTCCTAATTAAATGGGGCCATAAAAGCGCTCCGTTTATCTAATTGCATTTAATATAAATTTGCATTGCATTAACGGAATTAAATGTCTGAAAATATTACATTCAGTTCACACAAGTAAGTATTATTTCCATGTTAGTATACTTTTTGAAAGTAAAGTCCTATTTCCATGTAATAGCAACATTAAGCATAATAATTTAAGTGCTTTCCGTATACTCTTGCACATTTATATAAGAGTGATTATTTTGAATTTTGAATCCAAGTGCAGTGCATTATGGGATACAGTAAGTAACCAGCACAGCTGTGTACAGTGTTCTGGCAAATGTATCATGTCATGCAGGTATATGCATGCAATATATTGTGCATACATCATATGCTACACAATGCAGATATACTAGAATGATAGTATGCTTTTCTAACAGCAGCCACAGTCCCAATACAAACTAAGTCTCAACCACGTTCGTCAAGGGAGTTTTTGAAATCCTGCCTGAACATATAAACTGCTTAATCAAGCGTCAGCGTAATTGAAACCAAGCATACACAGTTATTGTTTTTATGCTCTTAAAAGCCAATAAAACATCTTTATATGCGCAATTGGGATGTTGCCATGTGCCACGAGTCACAGCTTGATCCAAAGGAGCCAGTACAAACACAATGAAAAGGAAGCACCAAGGACACCCCTTTACAAAGCTTTCGGGAACCGCGAGCCGCCAAAAGAGTAGTCGCTGTGTTAGAATGGTCGACTTTTACTGAAGGTTTCTCTAGTGACGCAAAAAGGGGTGCGCTGGTCCCCGTGTTTCCCCCCGCATTAAAAAACATTGTTTAATGGCCTCAAACTCTGCTATATAAACCTGAGATTATGGCTTCCTCTCTCACCGCTGAGCTCTGGGATTGTTGTGCTTGGACTTTAGAGTGTCACAGCTTTAGAGAGTTTTCTCATAAAAGAGAAAGTGATTCAATTACACATTGCAGGGAAGGAGTCTGGTTTGGAAAAAGGTAGCATGTGGCTGCTGGGTCAGCATTACTCTACTGGTCACTACAGCACTGCTGCACAGAGACCGATTTGATATTAACAAGACATCAATAGACCAAATGCAGTTAGTGACTGCTGTACATTATATGGAGTATTTTTCCATGTCTTCATTTCAATAACCCAATTCATCAACACTTATTTTTGTATGTTACTGTATATATCATATAGCAACTGCACAAAAACAACATCTTAACCCTGTAAAGCCTGACATATGAAAAAATAGTCAGAAAAATCACTTATTTATTTATTTATTTTAATGGAAGAGTTTATTTAACCTTTACACAGAATTGTTTTTTTAAAATGCATGTTTTATGTTGTCTATCATGTTTAATATATCAGGCTTTTATGGCTCATATAGCATGATATAGTAAAAATATGGAGCCCAAACTCAAGAAGGAAAAAAAAAATTCTTCAATTTTATTCATATTTTTGCTCAGTTATTTTATTTGCCAAAACTGAACAAAAATATGTAATTTGGTGCAGCAGCTATTTATGGCAAAAAAAAAAAAAGACAGTAAAAAAAACTACTTGCATAAAATGCATATAAATATCATTTGTCACTCTATATCGTCAACTAATATGTCTTCTTAAGATGATATATAAATGCTTATAGTTTATGATCAAAGCTATGCAGTTTTTATTGTTGGGACAAACCATATAATACAATGCAATACAATGATGACAGAGATGAAGAAATAAGTGTTCCTAAAAACCTTTTTTTTACATTTTCCAAAACAAAATGATGTATGGATAATCAAATTGCTTTAGCCCAGTAAATGTTCATCTTGAAATATTACTAACAATATAAAAGTTATTCTTACATTTACTTTATAATAGTCAGTAAAGATTTCACAAAAAGACTTGTGAATCACGAGCTGAAGATGGACATTTTTATAATTATACTAAAAGTGCTTTTACTATAAACGATCAATCAGATGACAGGAGGCATGTGGAAGATTGTGTGCCACATGTTTTTCAGCAAAGTTTTGAACATGTTAATAATTTAGGGGACTACAATCGTATATAATACTATGATATGTTTGGCTATATAGAGTTAAGATGTCTTCAAAGCGCATGATGCTTTGGTTTCAGAAGTTGTCAGCCAGTTACTAATCCTATTCTGGTTCATATGATCCAAAGTTGCACACCCTTGTGCCAAATATCTAAACCCTATATCGCCTGATTCGAGGATGTGAAATATTTGGTGGTGGGCACATCAAGCAGATCCATCTGACTCAGCTTTTTCAAACAGGCCAGGTTTCTTTACTTACAGCCACATTGGTAGTTGAATTCTATGGCAAAAGAACTTCAGAGTGCCAATTAATTGCCACAATTATGCTTGTCATATCCTTTGTTGACATGTTTCCAACAAACTAGAGCATACTAGAGCAGATGTTATTGACGAGCCAGTATACAGTCATTAAAGGGATAGTTCACCCAAAAAGGAAAATTCTGTCATTAATTAGTATTGCAGTTTCCTAAAAAATATTAAGCAGCACAACAGTTTCCAGCACTGATAATTAATAAATCAGCATATTAGAATGATTTCTGAAGGATCATGTGACACGGAAATTCAGCTTTGCATCACAGAAATAAATTATATTTTAAAGTATATTAAAATAGAAACCATTATTTTATATTGTAATAACATTTAGCAAGATTACACTTTTTTCTGTATTTTTTATCAAATACATGCAGCCTTGATGAGCATTAGAAACTCCTTTTAAAAACCATTACAAGACTTGCTGATCCCAAACTTTTGAGCGGTAGTGCATATATATATATATAAAGTAAGTTACAATTAAAATAGACAGGTAACCTAGAGCACCTAGATAGTTATAACTTGTTATAACTAGCCACGTTCTCCATTTATATTATTGATGACAAAATGTCATATAACTGTTAATGTATTGACGGACGTAATAACATATTACAAAACGATAACTCATAGACAAACATCCTGCTGTCTTGAGTTGTTGAGTAACCCTCTGGACGCGTCTCTGGAGCTGCTTTGAGATGATTTACGTTTGTTGCATTTTTATCTCGACATCGTTCATCAGAGTGCCGGAGGTTTGCCAAGAACACAACCTTCTTCAGCCTCCTCCTCCTCTTCTTCACGCTCCTCTCCTTCGCTATAAAAGGTGCTGAGCTGCTTCCATAGAGTCAGTGAGAGTCACCAGCTGCCAAACAGAGTCCACTACTCACACTTGTTTGACTTTCAAGGAAAATACTCCAGCCGCGAGACACTGAGCTGCAGCAGCCTCTGGAAAAGCTTGTGGAGAAGACACACACTAGGTAAGATGTGTTGCTGACACTGTAGTATATGGAAGGTAAATTAACAATATACATTGATTAACTGATGCATTTAGTCAATTAAAGCTGGCTGTGCAGAATCGGGAGGAGTTGCTTTTTTCTTCCTTTTTTTTGGTAATGATCCATTGATAGTCAGTGTGTAGAATCTAATGCTCACTGATCAGCATCAATTTGAGAGCATGTGTATTAAGATGCATTACGGGCATGATTTTGGACATTAATTGCACTAACTGTCATTTGGAAAATATGCATGTGGTTGAACTGTCATGCTGTTATAACAATCTCATGCCATTTCAAACTTTTATGCTTGTGCATAGGAAAAGCACAATGTGCAAAACCAACCAGCATTTTGCCATATAAAGTGCAGATGGACCACCTGGCAATTTTTTATCTCCTGTTTACATGGAGGTGCCCAGCTGGCGTTGTCCGGGCTGCTTGGTCTGTCATGGTAGTATAAAATTCAGAAGAGAGATGAGATGGCACTGAATGTGAATTAAAAGAGAGAGAGAGAGAGAGAGAACGGCAGCTGGAATTGAAGCGGTGCCTGTGTTTACTCAGACCAGTGTTGAATGTCAAGGCTCTGCAGAGAGAGTCAGAGAGGGGAGAAGTAAAAAACGCTTGACTCAACTGTGTTTAGAAGTGGCCACTAGTGTTTACCCCCCCCCCCCCCCCCCCCCCCCCACCAAACAAAAACCCCAATTCAAATTCACTTGCTCTTCTCTCCCATTCTCGCACCCACTCCATCTGCTGTATGAACCTGGATAATTCCATTCCCAGAGAAAGTCAGTCCGGGATAGAGAAAGATCTACTTTGATTAATGTGTGAATGGCACAGCTGCTGAGTGTGGATCTGTTCTGCTAATGTATCCATGGTCACCTCAGGAAATAAATGAGTTTGACCTACAAAGTTGAGTTAATGGATAGATTGTGAACCTGCAGAGATCAAACAGACTTGCTGGTCCATCAAACTGAACAATCTAATCGAAGGAGATCAGGCCTAGTGATTTGATCTTTTGAGTAGTAATGAAGATTACAATGGGGTTTTTGTTATGTGAGGCTTTGATAGTATAATTGTTCTGTAATGATTGGGCCTTTGCATTGACAATTGATTATGGCATACAATAAACATTCTTCTAATTGGAGCACAAACTATTCATTTGATGTGGATCGTTGAGGTTCATTTCCTCATTGGTGAGTGCTGCTCCATTGAGGTTAGATGGCAAATTTCATCTGAGCAACTTACGGCAATTCTGCAGAGAGTACAAAAAGGGTGAATTAATCAAGAAACCTGTAATGTCCCTCATAATTCATCTCAATTTAATAAGAAACAACATTATAAATGGACATTATTATTATTAATGAATTAATTAGCATAGTTCTCATTGCTGTAATGTGAAAAAACTGTAATATTGTAATTGAATAATAAAAATGTATCATATCTAAATAATCATGGTATTATCTGTTGTACTTGTATATGTATGGGGATTAAAAACATTTATTTCAATATTTTTACTGTAATATAGTGATACAGTTATCATTATTTGGTATTACAGTAAAGGCAATCACTTTATTTCATGCATATTTAAAAAAAACACTCAATATTTTTACTGTGGTAGAGTTAAATTTTTAGGTATTACAGCAAAGATAACCACTTTAATGTATGCTAATTTAAACTGAAAACATTGCAATTCAATATTTTTTACAGTAATATAGTGATACAGTGACATTTTTAGGTATTACAGTAAAGATAATAACCACTTTAATTTATGATAATTTAAATGAAAAACATTGTATTTCAATATTTTTACAGTAATATAGTGACACAGTTATATTCTTAATTATTGCAGTAAAGATAATAACCACTTTAATTTATGCTAATTTTAATACATTATATTTCAATATTTTTACAGTAATATAGTGATGCAGTAACATTTTTAAGTATTACAGTAAAGATAGTGACCACTTTAATCTATGCTAATTTAAATTAAAAACATTGTGTTTCAATATTTTACAGTAATATAGTGATGCAGTTACATTTTTAGGTATTACAGTAAAGATAATGACCACTTTACTTTATGCTAATTTAAATAAAAAACATTATGTTTCAATATTTTACAGTAATATAGTGATGCAGTGACATTTTTAGTTATTACAGTAAAGATAATGACCACTTTAATTTATGCTAATTTAAATTAAAAACATTGTGTTTCAATATTTTTACAGTAATATAGTGATGCAGTTACATGTTTAGGTATTACAGTAAAGATAATAAACACTTATTGATGCTAATTTAAATTGAAAACATTGTCTTTCAAAATTTTTACTGCAATAGTGATACAGTCAATATTACGTATTACAGTAAAAAGGAGAAAAAATAATGCATTATGGTTATAGTAATTTGGGAAGGAATGTGCTCAACAGTCATAATAACCCAATTCATCTTATTTGTCTTAAAACTGTGCTTGCTTTATGCAAAATTACTTACTTTGGGGTGAAATGTAACCTGGACTTGTTTTTTGTTAGATTCACCTAATGGACAAGCATGAGTTTAAACCAAGAAGCACTACATGGATGGATGCGTCTCATGTCGTTCCAGAATATCAACCCTCAGATTCTTCACTCTGATTGTTGTTATTGGATTCTGTATGTGTTCATATATTTGTGGTGTATGTTTAGTCAAGATGCAATAAGAGTGACTAATGAAACCAATTTAGCAAATTCCCCTTTGAAGCACTGATTTCTCTTTGTGTGTAAACACATGGACGTGTGTTTACTATCCAGCGTTTGCTCCGACAACTTTCCCAACACTTGTCCTCATGGAAACCATATTTCCTTCCAGATTTTTCAGAACAGAGCCCTGAAGACACGCTCACACAAGGCAGTCATCTGTAGTCCGCCCCCGAAAGCATCACTGCTGCCATGCACAGGCTCATTTCCATTGCCCTGCTATTCCTGGGTGCCAGTTTGGCTGCTTCCCTCTTCCTTCCTGACTCCCTGGAGCTGAGGCAGATAATGCAACGCTACCAGGACGAGCTGGAGCCTAACAGCACAAAAGCCGATGCGCCTTTACGCACTCGCAGAGCCATTGGGTGGTCGGACCGGGAGGACATCCTGCAACTGCACAACAAGCTGAGAGGAAAGGTGTACCCGACCGCCTCCAACATGGAGTACATGGTGAGAATGGAACACAGTTTGAGTCATTGTTCACTCACAAACAACTCTTTTTATGATTTACTGTAATATTGAGGGTCTGTAGACACACTAAAATGAATTGAGCTGAAAACTCAGGAGGTTCTGTTCCAAAACCTAGAGAGTTGCCTTCATAGAAAGCATTTTGAAAAGACTGTTTCAAAAAGTATGGAATAAAGTTATGCTGGCATCTAAGATCTTATTTAAGTTTAAGCTGCTGAAAGAAACTTTAGGATGCGACAAGCAGAAATCTTTCACCCAGGATGGCGAATAAATCAAGAGAATTATTGATTAATATTAATAATCAATAATTATCTTGATTTATTTGCCATCTTGGGTATTAATAATTTATTAATACAAAAATATTTATTCAACACCAAAAAGTATCAAATACAATCTATTTAAAAACGCATTATTTTTTATTTTTGTGTGTGCTACACGAAAAAGAAAGTCTTCTAAAAAGGAAAATAATATACATTAAAAGAATATACTTAAGTGTTAATTGAATGTAATGATTTCAGAAACTTAAATACATGTTAATTGCAATACAATGAAAATGTATTATAGTTTAAATTTAAATTGTGTTGAAACTTGTATAACATGTATTTAAATAAATTTGTGATTACACATTTGAAATGATGAAATTGCAATTTAGTACATTTAAAAAAAGATTTACTTTAAATGTTAAAATGAATAACACACTACATTTGGAATTAAACTCAAGTACTTAGCTTTAGTATGTTAGTCAACACATACAATTATTAAAACATAATGATATAAAATGCACTTTAAAGTAAAACTTAAATTTATTATTACATTATTACAAACTGCACTCTTTAAAAGTGTACTTAAGTGTGTTAAGAGTCGGTCATGAAAGTGTCTATTTTTAAGTACACTTAAGTGGCCTTTTATTTGATTAACATTGTCTTATCTGCAAGTGTAGTTTTTAAAATACACTTTTATGATTTGAAGTGCACTAAAAGTGCACATTCAGTACAACTAAGCAGACTCCCTTTTCACCAGGGGTTTTTATTTTTATTATTAGATTATCACACTGTTAGCTTAGCAACATGCTAGCAATCAACTCTATAGGAGTTAATATTTTGTCTAGTCTCCCAGTGTTGTCTATGAAGAGTTAAATCAGTCACTTATGAGGGTCTATTTCAGTTCGTATACTGCTTTAGAAAGTAACTGTCTGTGTAAACAGCAACACTAATCATGTTAGTCTGCAGCAAAGGTTTTTTTTTATATCGACCACACATGTCGAGAGCTGTACAAACCAACACTCTGTTCTGAATTAATGACGCTGATTTGTACTAACTGTATATTGTGTTAGCAGGAGTCATCGTTTCTTTCTGGTGCAGTAAATATCTTTAGGTTTGCGTAGGTGCCAAATACTGGCCTCGTTGGAAGAAACATGTTGAGTTTACAAGTGTGGTGAGGCACTTTTTATTGTGAAGACAATTACACTGAGGTTTAGCCATCTGCTGACACAGGAGCCATGAGACAGATAGAGAACAGAGCCAAAGATTAGTGACATTACTGGACCAGAGATGAGGCTTCAGTTATGTGACTAAATATGGCAGCTATGCAGCCTTCAGTTGTAAGTGCTAAAGGGATTCCCTTGTGAAAAAGAAGTACACTTTAGCATACCTTCAAAAAGAGTACTTGTTACGGGAAAGTATATACTTAAGTGCGTACTGAATGTAATGTTCTTGAACGCTTAGTTGCATGTTAATTGAAATTAAATTAAATTGTTTACATTCATATTAAATGGAATTAGTTGAACTTAAGAGTTTTTAACCAATTTAAGAAATACTTAAGTACGTCTTTATAGGTAATTCCATAATTATATCTATTTTCTTTGAAATATGGTTCAAGTGTACTGTTGAATGTACTGACAAGCATTTATGGTAAACTGAAATATACTTCAATGCCGTTTTTATTAAAGCTTGTAAGTAATGTATTTAAATAAGTTTGTAATTACACATTTGTAAGGACAAAGTTGCAATGTAATACATTTTAAATTTATTTTAAATGTAATATCTAATAACACCCTACAATTCAAATCAAGTAAGTCTTTAAAGCATGACAAAAGTTTATTATAACATGATGATTTAAAATGTACTTTAAAGTAAAACGTTTAATTTGACATTATTACAAAGTGCACTTAAGTGTGTTAAGAAACACACTTTTAAATGTGATATTAAAATAAATATTAAAATGTACTCTAAGTACACTTAAGTGGCCTTTTATTTTATTTTTTTAATATGCTTTTATGATTTGAAGTACACTACAAGTTCACATTCAGTACAATTAAGTGCACTAGAAATGACAATTCTATCATCATTTACTTGACCTGGCAAAAGCTCTTGGTTCTACTAGTAGATGAGCATAACTGGATACACCTGCATCACTTTTACACATTTAAAGGCCTCAATAGTATTCCATAGAAAGGCATTGTGGGAAATCATGTTTTTAAGGGAAAACCATAGGTTTTTTAAGTAATCATAGATGTGCTAGGGACCTATAGCGAGCACAGTCGTGCTTTATTGCTGTTCCCCATGTACCTTTGCGCATGGTAATTGAACATGAGTTTCATGTTGATGTAGTGAGATTTTAAAGGGAAAGATACAAAGAGCAAGGGCTTATGGTTAATGTAGTTGGGTTGATGCCTTTGAGAAAGACAGGAGTCTACCACAAGCAGGGCTTTTAGAACCACTGCCAGGCCTCAGCGAACAAGTAAAGGTTTCAGAAACATGGCTTAGTCCCAAACAGCACCTTCAGAACTGAGGTTACAGAATGTGTGAGTGTTTGTACCCATCCTGCAGTTGGAAATTTACTGAGAGTTCCTCAGAGGTGAAGAACCCTGTTCTGTGGAGCGAAATGAGTCCTCCTCCCTACAGGTGGAGAAATAAGCTTTGGAAATTCGTCTCATTTAACCTTGATTGCTGGGGATTTACAATGGATGTGAGCCAAGCTCTGATGTGTGTGCATGTAGCCAATATTTTAGTTGTATTGGGCCTGATTCCCAGTCCAATAGTGAAGATGAAGAGTCAGAGGAAGGCAAAGGGAATTATCTGGGAATAAAACTCAGCATGTTCAGTATTTTGTTAAAGTCTCAGTGCAAATATATGGGAATTATGGACTGTGTGTTCTGCTGGGTGTTTGATTTAGTTTGTGTGTGTATGACCAGGTTTGGGATGATGAACTGGAGAAGTCAGCGACCTACTGGGCGGAACAGTGCCAGTGGGAACATGGACCTAAAGATCTACTGATGTCCATCGGGCAGAACCTAGCCGTGCACTGGGGAAGGTATGAGTACAGACACATTTAGAATGAACATATCAGTCTGTTTCTGTAATGTAACCAGTCGTGCACACAGTCATAGAAAACCTGGAAATATTTGGAAATTTTTTAAAATGTCTCCAATTTTTTTCTTATTTTAAATTTACTTGTATGCATTTATCCAAATCAACTTAAGTTGCAGTAACATTTAATACAATTTTGTAGTCAAAAAGGGTCCATTGTCCGTTGTCAATAGTATAGAAACCCAATCTCTTTTTTTCCAAAAATTGTATGATTCACATTTTATTAATTCATATGATCAGCACCTTGCAATATAGTTTCCCATTAGAAATCCTTACCATTTTACTAGGTGGTGATTTTGTATGAATTTGTACTTTTTTTTTCTTAAAGTAAGCTTTTCGGTCCATCTCTAGCCCCACCCCTAAAAATAACTATTTAGGGGGGTATAAGCAGGTTGTATGAAAACGTAAAGGTGAGATCGTATTAATTCCAAAGCATAATATAGTTATGAATTGCCATGAGATTATGTTGTAGTGTAGTGATTCATGAAGCACAGCTTGCACAGAAGTCGTCAATTTCCAACCATGCATGTTTGTCAATGTTGCAAATAAGCATGACCAACTTGAACCTGTTGCGAAATGTACAAGGGGGAAATATTTCACCCTCATCACACAGAATCCTATTGAAATGGCTGGATTTTAAACACGAAATGTAACCTTTACATTGCAGCAAAAGTATACAATCGATCCGTTTCTGCATTCACTGGGAATCAAACACACGACCTTGGCGCTGCTAGTGCAATTCTCTACTTTTTGAGCTGAAATGAACACATTTTAACTAATTAAAATCGATCAATTCTAAGTTACAACATACAAACTGAAATCCACCCATGTGATCCCCAAATGATCCCCATGCTGCTCTTTAAGTTGCTTTGTGTAAAAACATCTGCCAAATGAATTAATGTAAATGCATTTTACATATTAAACACTATTGATATAAAGAGTGTAAGTTACTGTGGCATCATAATCATATTATTTATCGTATCTCTCTCCTGATAGGTACCGCTCTCCGGCCTACCATGTGCAGGCCTGGTACGATGAGGTGAAGGACTACACCTACCCTTACCCGCATGAGTGCAACCCCTGGTGCCCTGAGCGCTGCTCTGGACCCATGTGCACCCACTACACACAAGTGAGTGAGAAATCTCAGTTTACAAACTATTTTCCCAGTGGGACTAAACAACATGACCAGTGTTGGGGGGAACGCATTACAAGTAATGCGAGTTACGTAATCAGATTACTTTTTTCAAGTAACTAGTAAAGTAACGCATTACTTTTTAATTTACAAGAGAATATCTAAAGTAACGCAAGTTACTTTTTTTTCCAATTTATTGATTGACAGCTCTGGTGTCGCCATGGTGACAGAAATCAGAATATGTTACTGTAGTTCTAAAAATAAATATGAATATGCATTAATTCATCTCACTCACAAAAAACACAGATTCAGTATTCCTCAAAATGAATAAAAATAATGCAACTCAGAATATGACGCAAACCTGCAATAATTAAATGTTAAACAACACAAATATGCTTTATGTATTTAATCCCATTCTATTAACCAATGTCTTTGCTTCTGACCTTCGATGATCCAGTTCAACCATACTAATAAACACAAATTACTCTAGACAAACATTTGTGTCCTTTTTTTATTGCTGAAGTGTGTTGAAATGTCTTCTTCTGCATTCTACTGTACGGACGTACATTTACTTTCCCTTCAGCCTGAGGCGCATTCATTTCACTTTTGTTGTGAAAAGGCTTTTATATTTGCCAAAAATATAACTTTTTAAAAACAAACAAGCAAGCCCTGTACAGATTTAAAAAGTAACGCAAAAATATATATTTTATATATATTTCACATATAAAAATAATCAATGTTTATATGTGAATTAAATCTGTTCATCATATAAAGTGATAGTGTCTCTTCAGAAGACTTGGATTACACAGCTCGATTCATATGGATTACTTTTATTGTACTTTTTTAAAGTGTTTAGGTTTTGGTTGCATGGACTTCCAATGGACCGAAATCTTGCATATTTCATAAAAAATTCAAAAATTCATTTAATTTGCATTTTAAAGATGCACGAAAATCTTAAGGGTTTGGAATGACATGAGGGCATGATGACAGATTTTTCATTTTTAGTTGAACTGTCCTTTTAAGTGTTCGATCATACTTTAGTTTGGGGAACAATTCTCACTCTTAACTAACTATTAACTATTACTTTTGCCTCAATAAATCCCTAATTTGCTGATGATTAGTGTGCTTCTGACCTTCGATGATCCAGTTCAACCATACTAATAAACACAAATTACTCTAGACAAACATTTGTGTCCTTTTTTTATTGCTGAAGTGTGTTGAAATGTCTTCTTCTGCATTCTACTGTACGGACGTACATTTACTTTCCCTTCAGCCTGAGGCGCATTCATTTCACTTTTGTTGTGAAAAGGCTTTTATATTTGCCAAAAATATAACTTTTTAAAAACATACAAGCAAGCCCTGTACAGATTTAAAAAGTAACGCAAAAATATATATTTTATATATATTTCACATATAAAAATAATCAATGTTTATATGTGAATTAAATCTGTTCATCATATAAAGTGATAGTGTCTCTTCAGAAGACTTGGATTACACAGCTCGATTCATATGGATTACTTTTATTCTACTTTTTTAAAGTGTTTAGGTTTTGGTTGCATGGACTTCCAATGGACCGAAATCTTGCATATTTCATAAAAAATTCAAAAATTCATTTAATTTGCATTTCAAAGATGCACGAAAATCTTAAGGGTTTGGAATGACATGAGGGCATGATGACAGATTTTTCATTTTTAGTTGAACTGTCCTTTTAAGTGTTCGATCATACTTTAGTTTGGGGAACAATTCTCACTCTTAACTAACTATTAACTATTACTTTTGCCTCAATAAATCCCTAATTTGCTGATGATTAGTGGTTAGTAAGGTAATTGCTAAGTTTAGGTAATAGGTATTGAGTAGAATTAAGGGATCTAAAATATGGTAATGCAGTATAAAGCATTAATATGTGCTTTGTAAGTACTAATAAACAGACAATATGCTAGTAATATGCATGCTAATAAGAAACTAGTTAATACTGAGAATTGCTCCCTAAACTAAAGTCTTACCAGTTGTCCAAATACTATTTTAGGGCCACTTTTATCACCAGTGGTTTTCTGTGTTTCTGTTTCGTTCCACACTAACAGCTCCTTTTTAAAAATGGTATTTGAAAAAGTAATGTGGATACTGTCAAAACATATTGCACATGCCAGATCAAGCAGATGCAATGCACAAAGAAAAGGAGAGTAGGAAAGAGAGACCAACCAAAGTTCAAGAGAGACGACAACAGAGAAAATTGAGGACAAAAGGAGGGGTTGAGCAATAGCCTCATGTCCTCTTAGGCTTTACTTTATCGCTGAGATGAGTTTGTGAAAATACACATTCGCTCAGCTCTGAAAGCAGGTTACACGCATCTGGAAGCGTTCCCAGACTCCTGAATCATTTTCCTGTTTGACCCAAATTCCTTTGAAGATGCAGAACGCAGAGTCGTAGGGGATATCTAGGGCCAAATCTCTGCCGCGATTCTCCCCGTTTCCCTCCTCTATCACGTGCTGTAGAGCAGGTCTGGAGGCTCCACGATCTTCTCGGTGCCAGACGATCCCTCTGGGTTAAGCTTGAGTTTGTGTTTTTTGAGACTGATTAGTTTGCTGTTTCGTTGTCCCATGGCCAACACCGTCTGCGGGCTCTGCAGAGGAAGTGCGTTCCCGAGGGAGCATTGAGACGTGCTCCCTCGATTGCGTTCTGCGGGGTTAGATGCAAACCCACTACGGTTTAACTGTATGTACAAAAAAAATTCTGAGTAAGCACTTCCCTTTCATTTCACAGTCAAATGGTTTGGCTCGTGCTGCAGGGCTGCACCCGGTGAACCATATTGTGTTTAAATGAATCAGTGAGGGCCTTGACCGCAGCTCAACGGGCTACACGCAGGCTTTACTTTGTTTGTGTGGATAAGAGTGGATGAAGGGAAGTTTTTCAGGAAACTGGCCCGGTCACATTTGAGGTGCTTCTCCTTCCGCCCTACAGGGCAGAATGAAAGAGTGCAGTCACTATTCACGGCCCCCGTGGCCCCATCAATCTACTGCCTCTGCCCCAGAACAGAGACCACTTCCTGCTGGGGAACACTTCCTCCTCAGAGGGGAGTCGATATGGATGTCTTTTTTTAAGCTTTTGACAACAACAGCAAAGAGACCTGCATCTTTCATGCATGCCAGAAGAAAACAATTTGGTATCACTTTTTAATTAGGTATGTTACTTAGGTCAAAAAAATAATTGTTTGGAACCGAATCAGTGAGGGCCTTGACCGCAGCTCAACGGGCTACACGCAGGCTTTACTTTGTTTGAGTGGATAAGAGTGGATGAAGGGAAGTTTTTCAGGAAACTGGCCCGGTCACATTTGAGGTGCTTCTCCTTCCGCCCTACAGGGCAGAATGAAAGAGTGCAGTCACTATTCACGGCCCCCGTGGCCCCATCAATCTACTGCCTCTGCCCCAGAACAGAGACCACTTCCTGCTGGGGAACACTTCCTCCTCAGAGGGGAGTCGATATGGATGTCTTTTTTTAAGCTTTTGACAACAACAGCAAAGAGACCTGCATCTTTCATGCATGCCAGAAGAAAACAATTTGGTATCACTTTTTAATTAGGTATGTTACTTAGGTCAAAAAAATAATTGTTTGGAACATTATACTTATTGTGTTTATGTTGAAATGCCAAACATATTTACTGATATTGAGGTAGGACACAGGTAAGATTAGGCTCATGTTTTGTTGTATTGTTAGGTTTAAGGTTGGGTGGGGGGTAGGGGTAAGGTTATCAGTGTAATTACTACATAAATTAATTACAGATGTAATTACATCCCTGCTGAAAAAACAGCTGAAACCAGCCTAAGGTGTTTGGCTGGTTTTAGCTGGTCTTCCAGCCTGGTCATAGCTGATTGTAATTTTCGCACGTTGGTTTTAGAGGGGTTTTGACCACTTCTTTTGCTGTTCAGGCTGGGAGAACAGCTGACCAACCAGCTAAAAACAGCTGAACATCAGCTTGATCATCTTAGCCAGGCTGGGAGACCAGCTAAAACCAGCTAAGACTAGCCAACCAGCTTAGGCTAGTTTTTTTCCCTCTCCACAACAAGTGCATTGTATCAGAAAATTGCTGCCTTGATTCTAGTGTCTTGTGGTTGCCAGTTGGAGTTGCTAAGGTGTTCTTAGAATTTTTAATGCTAGATAGCTGCTAGGTTGTTTCTGTGCGGTTGCTAGGGTGTTATATATGGTTTCTAGGGTGTTTCTAGGTGGTTGCTAAAGTGTTATAAATGGTTGCTTACTGGCTAAAGTCATAAGAGCATTTAGCACAAGTGGTTTCTATGGTGTTTCTAGGTGGTTGCTAGGGTGTTCTGGATGGTTGCTTACTGACTCTAATTGTAGGAGCGTTTCTCATCGCTGTACAGTTGCTAGGTCGTTTCTAGGTGGTTGCTAGGGTGCTATAGATGGTTTCTAGGGTGTTTCTAAGAGGTTCCTAGGGCGTTATGTATGGTTGGTTGCTGGCTGTAGTCAAAAGAGCCTATAGATTTAGCTTGGGTCCATCTTCAATGTATGGTTCTATGGGGTTTTTGTTCATTTTCATCATTATCCTATTGAAAACTGTAATAACAAGATTGCTTAGAAAAGAAATAAGACACTTCTATTCAACATTCCAGATGACTTACATGTCAAGGTTCAGTATTTATGAACAAATACCTAATCTTGAGCAAACACCACTAATAATAATGTATTTCTCTTCATTTGCAGGTGGTCTGGGCCACAACCAACCGTGTTGGCTGTGCTGTACACTTGTGTCCGCGTATGAATGTATGGGGAGAAATCTGGGAGAACGCCGTCTATCTCGTCTGCAACTACTCACCCAAGTAAGACCAGCTCTTTCTGCTGACGTTTATTCATTTAACACCAGATGGCTAATTACTATTCCTGATGATGATCCTATGGAACAAAACTTACATCCTTGAAAACATGGAGGCTATAAACAAAGATTCATCCTTAGAAAAATGGAAAAGTAAATGAAGGCTTTTGGGAAAGGAAAACATGGGCAGAATGTGTTATTCTTTTCCAAGCTAATGATTTAATTTGGCAGCTGGGGATTGTTTTTCCTGAATCATTCTTGAGATCCATGAGAGTATGTGATTTGAGTGCTCAGTCAAATGTGCAGATTTTGCAGTCGTTTTCAAAACCATGCTGAACCCGTGCCTTTTTTTTTTTAGGGGAAACTGGATCGGGGAAGCCCCCTACCAACATGGCCGCCCCTGTTCCCAGTGCCCACCAAGCTATGGAGGAAGGTGCAGAGACAACCTCTGCTACAAGGGTGAGCACTGATAGAAGAATGATTACAAAGGTATAACACATGGAAGTCTAAATCTTATTTTTGAGTTTTTTTGTTGTGATTTTGTTTTTAGGAGACCCTGAACGTCATGAGTCTCCAGATATGAATGAGGTGGAGAAGCAGCAGGAGCCAGTACAGCCTCGGACGACTCCAACTAAGCCTAAGCCCAAACCCTCTTCCCCCAAAAAACCTGCAAATGCCAATCCTTCCTCAACCAAGACTACAAGAACAACCTATCTAGGTTAGTGTGAATAATATTATTTGAAGTAATTAAAAACAATTAAAATTTCTATTAAAAATAAATAGTAATAATGTTTTTATTGTTAATTTGCATGAAATAATGAAAAAACAATGTAAAAATGCATTATTATTATTATTATTATTATTATTATTATTATGTATTTTTTTTAATAATTTTACATTAATTAGCATTTTTAGTATTCTACAATTATTTAAATAATACAATTTTTTTGTAATAATGTGTACATTTATCTAAACTATTCATAATAAAACATTCTAAATTTCTACTTTTTAAAAAAAATTATTTTGCCTTTCAGCACAAAATATTAAGTGTGAGACAAGAATGAGGGACAAATGTAAAGGAGCGACCTGCAACAGGTCAGTGTAAAGGAATTTGTTATTTCTTTAAAGATATGATAAGTTCAGAAAATTTTACTGGTTACTTTTTTCTTATCTTTTTAAGGTACAACTGCCCAGCAAACTGCTTAAATAAGAAGGGGAAAGTGTGGGGAACATTGTATTATGATGTTGTAAGTGTTATTTTGACATTTCACCTGGTTCTGTTTAAGTGGGTGATGTTACATTTATTTATCAATTCCGTTTTTTTCAATTTTTGTAGCAATCAAGTATTTGCCGTGCTGCTATCCACTATGGAATAATTGACAACAATGGAGGCCTTGTGGATGTCACAAGAAAAGACAACTTCCCATTCTTTGTAAAGGCAACCAAGAATGGTGTAGAGTCATTCAGGTAGTCTAAATGCTATGTTGATACCATTTGAATTCAGTTTGTCCACAATTCAATATCCACATGAGAGTTATTCACTCTAATCTGCGTTCTGTGATTTTCTTTTCAGTAAATACAAACCTGGCAATGCATTTACAGTGTCAAGAGTGGAAGGTGAGTATTGTTATAATCTTATCTTGATAATTCCTCTTCAATACATATTTTTCAATATGAAATCAGAATTACCATGTTTTTGGATATTTCATTTTAAGTTAATATATTGTATAAATGTATAATGTACTAAATTGCAGCTTCACCGTGACAAATGCATAATTACAAATATATTTAAATAAAAATAAATAAATGTATATAAACATACATTGTTGTATATTTTATTTTAACATAAATGATTGTCTGTGCATTCAGCAGTAACTTTAAACATATTTCAAATATAATAAAATTAATTATGAAATTGCACATAAAGATGTACATAAGTGGGCCGAAAAATCACTCTAAAGTCCAGCTAATTGCATTTAATATAATTGTAAACCCTAATACATTTTCAATTGCAATTGATATTCCATTAAGTGTCTGAAAACATTTCATTCAGTTCGCAATTAATGATGTTATTTCCATAAATGTATTATTTTTAAAACTATGCTAAAGTGTATTATTATGCAAATATTTTATTGATCTCATAATTTTTTCAGTATGCAGTCAGATTATTAATTAAAGGGGTCATATGATGCTATTTTAAAGATCATTATTTTGTGTATTTGGTGTAACAGAATATGCTGACATGCTTTAATGTTCAAAAAACACATTATTTTTCAAATACTGTATATTATTGTAGGCCCTCTATGCCCCGCCTCTCTCAAACGCGTCATTTTCAACAAAGCCACCTCCTTTGACAAGCGCAGTCTGCTCTGATTGGCCAGCTGACCCAGTGCATTCTGATTGGCCGAACACCACAAGCACTCGTCGGAAATGTAATGCCCCTTACCATAATCGCAGCTTCAGCTTTCAAAGTAAATATCAAGACAGTTTATAATGACGTTAGTTTTACCATCAGTTCAAGCCCGAAAGGGCAACAGAGTCGCGTGACAGACACAGTGATGAAGCAGTACACAAGC